AAAGAAGAACTGGAGGAAGATGAGTGGGCTGGTCAGTGGGTAAGGAATTGGTTAGATGGTCACACCCAGAGGGTTATGGTCAGTAGCTCCATGTCCACGTGGAGACGGATGACAAGGGGTCCGTGCTGGGGCCAGTACTCTTCAATATCTTCATCGATGACCTAGTCAGTGGGCTGGAGTGCACCCTCAGCGAGTTTGCAGGTGACAGCGAGCTGGGTGCTGCAGTCGACAGCCAGAGGGACAAGACGTCCTCCAGAGGGACCTGGACAAGCTGGAGAAGTGGGTCTGTGTGAACCTCAGGGTGTTCAGCAAGGCCAAATGCAGAGTCCGGCACCTGGGTTGGGGCAATCCTCGTTCTCAGGACAGGCTGGGGGATGATGTGATGAGAGCAGCCCTGTGGAAGAGGACTCAGGGCTGTTGGTGGGCCTCACTGCAGGAGGTTGGACTAGATGGCCTTTAAAGGTCCCTTCCAACCCAATGTGTTCTGGGATTCTGTGAAAATAGGCCAGCATGCTTTTTTACCTTTGTGCTCCTTGCAGGTGAGCTCCAGTGGGAGGTGCTGGGGGTGCTTTTTGGTCGTGCTGCAGGAGGTTACAGCACCCCTCTGCTCTTGCATGGTTTGTGCCCTCTCATCTTCCTCTGTGGAGACCAGAGGCTGGAGGCAAGAACCCGGTCACCCTCTCCTGTCCTCTCCCCACAAGCTGTCAGAGGTTGTTAGGCTTTTAGGTTAGGTCACAATATAGAACTAAACCTTTTTGCTGTGACTCCGTCAGAGATGAATTGGGAAGTTATCCAATAGGCAAATTTATAAAATAGAGTGCTCTCTTGGGAGATCAGGTTGCCTGGCCTCTCCTTAAATTTCTTTTAATTTTGCTTTCTAGTCTGTGCAATATGCACTACGCTATAGTGTGTGTGGTCTTTTCTCACAGGTAATTAGGGACAGAACCAGGGGGAATGGTTGCAAGTTGCAACAGGGCAAGTTTAGGCTGGACATTAGGAAGAAATTCTTCACTGAAAGAGTGGTCAGACACTGGAACAGACTGCCTAGGGAGGGGGTTGAGTCGCCATCCCTGGATGTGTTCAAGTGTCGTTTAGATGGGGTGTTGGGTGAGATGGTTTAGGGGTGAACTTGTAGTGTAGGGTTAATGGTTGGACTCGATGATCCCAAGGGTCTTTTCCAACCTGAATTGTTCTATGATTCTATGATCCTATATACCACTTTGTGCTATATGCTGTGTGGGACATCTTTTGTGACAGACGTAATGGTTCGTGTTACCTTACCCTCAGATATCTTCCTTGAAATATTCTTCTGCAACATTTTTGTCATTTTCTAAATGTTATTTCCGAACCACCAGCGGTTTCAAGCAGCGCTAAGGCCCTGTTATAGGCATTGTGCAAGCACTGCCTGTCAAATACTTCCCTAAAAAGACGACTCAGAAGGATGAAGTGGAACAGTACAATTAAAGATTTATTTTACTATCTAATTGTGACACTGCTGAAGTCTTCCCTGGTTGTTACAAAGAGTGGCTGGATAATTGGGCGTGAGTATGACAGGCCAGTACGCTCTTGGGCTTCAGCGCTGTCTGTTTCTTCAGGCATCTGTTTAATGGTCTCAGGCTCCTGAACCAGCTCATTATCTTAAACGTACTCACCCCAGGAGCCCCAATGTCACTTAATATTTACAGAGGATTGCATAACAACCAGGTAATATAATGCACATATGCTTTGCACAGGTTGCTAATACAGTTATCCCTGTTGGTAGAAGCGGTCCACATACCAAAACGAAACGAGTTATCTGCATTTTCTTCATGATTCTAGCGCGGTGTTTGGGATGTGGTGTCTGCTGAACAGTTTGGGGGCTTTCCTCCTTCATGCTTGTGCAACATTTTTGCACCTGGGAGACTGTTTGCTCTGTACCCCCCCAAGAAGCTAGGGAGGCTCCACCTCAGTTGTAAGTCAAGGGACCTCCTTCCTCATCAGTCTCTTCTGACGAGCGGCCTCTTATTGTGTGATGGCAGGTTAGTTACTGGCTCACTGGGAGCGCTGGTTCTCCTGGGCCAGGGCTGGCTTTATCTCGAGGATGCCTCCTTATGGCTGGAGAGTTGTCCAGTTTTAGTCTGTTGCCAAGCCAGGGCTCTTAAAACGTTGTTCCTAGAGCCGGGGGATTCTTAACTGTGCTGCCAGCACTGACTCATAACTGTGTCACGAGGCAGTGTCCACGATGGAAAGATTTTTAGTCTCTGAGGAATGGTAGATGTTTAATTAAGGGCAGTGATTCTCCATGTGCTGAAGTAGTCTGCTTTGCACTTTTCAAACTGTTTTAAATACCCAAATAATTCAACTTCTTGAAACTTGCTCTTAGTAACAGATGAGATGAAATGCTGTAGATAGCCTTTTCTTTTCTTACAAATATGTAACTTTAAGAAATAAGTTGAACTGCTTGGAGCAGGGCAAAGGGCTAAGTGGTCTCCTGTGATCATTTCCAACTGAAATTATTCTGATACGTTAAAAATTGCATGTGAAGGTCTACAGAGCATAAACTAAACTCTTTAGCAAATCCCCTTTTCTGTGTTTTACATTTGGAATATGTGTTGAAGCTGTTCTACTGTGTTGCATTTATAGATCTCTTTCAACATTGGGCTTGGTTATATCATCACTTGCTGACCAAGCAGCAGGGAAGGGGAAAAACAAGTTTGTGCCTTACAGAGACTCTGTACTCACCTGGCTCCTCAAGGTAATTCATATTTTTCATTCACCCTGTTCATGAGATGTCAGGTTAATAGTTTGTAGGATCATTGTGGCATATATCTGTGCACGTGGACTTCTCATCTTTCTTTTTTCTTTTTTTGTTTTTTTTCTTCTTTGAGCTAAGGAGCTCTCATAGCTGTGAATTGCTCCAAGTAATAGGTCTGGCTGAATGTATCTCGTGTTAATTCTGTATAAAGTCTTATCTGGCTATTTTCAGTCATAGTGGAATCAAAGCTGGTAGAGGGAGCTGGAAATGCAAATGCACCCTATTGGTTAGTTAACACCAAGAGTAACTTTGAGCATCTAAATAGTGAGCTTCATATTTTAAGTTTCCTTGTAAAGACACTTTATAGTCTCAGACCAATTTTTAACCCTCAAACATTCTGTGGATGCTCTCTACAGGACAACTTGGGAGGAAACAGCCAAACTGCCATGATAGCCACAATTAGTCCAGCAGCAGACAACTACGAGGAAACACTCTCTACGCTGAGATATGCAGACAGAGCCAAAAGGATAGTTAATCATGCTGTGGTGAATGAAGATCCAAATGCTAGGGTCATCAGAGAATTACGTGAAGAGGTTGAAAAACTGAAAGAACAGCTCTCACAAGCTGAGGTAACATTATTCCCAGTACAATGTAAATTGAGTTTCACAAGGGAATGTTAAATTCTGGCTGGAAGACTAGCTTTCTGTTCAAGTCTTACAAAATAAGGAACGGAAGAGTCTTGCACTTGTAAAAACAAAATGAATTAACCTTGTTTCTTGGAATAAATCCAACGTAAAGTTTGCTTATTTTTAATAATTTTTAATGACAGCATTGCATTGATGGTGACCCTTGTCGGAATAGGCTGTTCTTGAAGAACTCCATGTCAAGCAGTCATTGATGCAACACACGTAGGACCTAGAGTACAGCTTCATTCTGTGGACATCTTAGCAGAAAACTTTCTGTGTGTTGGTGGACTGTATCATTTTATGATGTTGAACGGAAAAAATGTGAAAAGCCATAAATCTGATATTGGACCATAAAATACGTGGGAGATTTCTCTCCCTGACACTTCTAAAGATCTGTGAAAAACTGTCAAAACTGCAACACCGAAACCGTCAGCAATTTGATTTACTGCCTTAACAGTTAACACTATGTGCTTGCTGCTTGTCTTAGATTTATCCTTCTAACTGGAGAGTAAAGTGTCAGGGCAGTTTAGTTTATCTGGTGATATCTGGAGAAACTAGGCACCGCACTGTAGGAAAATACTTGTTATGATTTCTTGCAGTGCACAAAATACAGGTGGAAAAAAAATTTTGTCTGTGGTGAAATGAACGTCACGTACAATTAAGGAGTAGCGTGCCTTGTATCAACAATTCCTTACAGGCTGAAACAGGAAAAATGCTTTAAGAAAAAGGAACTGTTCACTTTTTTCCTAAATAAAAGTCTATTCTAATCCCATATTTTAAATCAGAAAATATTGTTGTAGCGTATCTTTTATATGTTGGTGAACTGTGGCTCAGCATGGTCAGTGGGAAGGTGTCCGAAGTCTTGCTAATTTTTTTTGAACAGACTTTTCTCTTATACCTTCTACTGAAAGCAGTTACATAGAGCTATAGGCCAGCCTGTTGAGTTGCCACTTGGCACGGGCTGCGCTCCAGCCTTTTCCTTTTGGTTCCCCTTGTGAAATGAGAAGGCCGTGTCAGCTCTGGAGCGTGCCTTCCTTCGAAGGCAGCCAGCAGGGTCAGGCTGGAAGCTCGAATGCAGCCCTAGGAACACTTTTACAAAACCAAGATGGAGCGAAAGGCAAAATACCGAGAGGAATTTGTATTTGGAACTTCTTCTGGAAAAAAGGCTTTGCAGCTGAAATTCCGACAGCTAAGAGTTTTTAAATACGCAGATGATTTTATACAGAAACTGAAACTTGAGCGGCCAGGCCCAGAGATCTTGTTGGTTCCGTGGAGCTATGTCAGTCTTCAGCTCTTTCAGATCTGGACCCGTTATATGTTAATTCTGTCACCTGTTTCTGCATCTTCTGCCATGAAAAATCTGGGGATATAGTTGAAATCTGTACTTGTTGCATTTTGTATTATGTTGTTCTGTTCAGTTTCCTTATGCAAGAAGATGTTGCAGTGGGAAGAGGAGCTGAAGGTCTCTCCTAATTTCTGCCTTTTAGGCCATGAAGGCACCAGAACTGAAGGAAAAATTGGAGGAGTCTGAAAAACTGATAAAAGAGCTAACCGTCACCTGGGAAGAAAAGCTCAGGAAAACAGAAGAAATTGCACAGGTATTTCAGAAATTTTCAGGAGGAAAGGCCAAGATACTCACATGGTGCAAGTCAGCTGAATTTCATGAGCTTTAGTGGATTTCTCCACCAGCTGTTTTTGTGTTTTCCCTTAGTTTCTGGTTTTTTGGTTTGTTTGGGGTTTTTTGGTTTGGTTTTTAAAGTCTAAATTTTATTAGAATAAATGTAACTCTGTCATGTTGGCGTTGATAAAAGCTAACATTTGACTTTAAATTAAAACATCACAATATGTTTGGGCAGCTCATTTATTTATAAGACCACAGTGAGATCTTGGACGTCATTCCTTTGAAATGACTAAGAAAATTAATTAGAAAAGTATCAGAATTTCGGGCAGTACTTCTTGCTTTTGCTTTTAGTGACTTCTCAACCAGAGAAGGAGAATGTATTCATGTAGTGACTAAAGTTTGTTCATCATTATTGCACTTAAAGTAATGGTACTGGATTTCAGTGTACTTTTCCATCATTTCCAGCATCTGTAGCTTGGAGAAATGAGTATTGTTCACTTTGTTTTCTAATCCTAACGTTCCAGAAGCATGCTTTTGTGCAGCCACTGTTTTAAATAAAAATTAAAAAAAAGGCAAGGGGAAAACCCATGTCACGTTACTTAAGACTAGTTCTAACAAAATCAACAGGGCTGCTTAGGTAAGTACTACTTTGGAGAAGCAGGTATTTCAGAATTAGATCTAACTTTTTGTTGTTGGTGTGTAAAAATAAATTCTATTAAACATTTGGTACTTGGCTAATGTTTTTGATTCTGTTTCTAGCTCAGCATGTGCATGTTCAGCTTTAGTAGCTTTGCTTTCATTTACTTGCTATCCTTGTCTCTACCTATTTCAGCAGAGAGGATTTAACCTATTTTTGTGCTTGTAGGAAAGGCAAAGACAGCTGGAGAGCATGGGAATTTCCCTCGAGTCTTCGGGTATCAAAGTTGGGGATGACAAATGTTACCTGGTGAACCTGAATGCAGACCCTGCGCTCAACGAGCTTTTGGTTTACTATTTAAAGGTAAGAATGGGAACTGGATTGTGACGCAGAATGAAAGGACACTTGTTCATTGTTTTTGGACTTCCAGCTCAATTTGCTGTTCAGTGTATTTAGATTTTTAAGACTAGTTGCAGCAAAATAGGTTATTTCTCCCATCTTCTATTTAGGCTTTTGTTCTCCCTTTTCAGTTCAGCTTCGTTGTTTTCCCAGTTGACCTCCTGATTGTGAACTGGGGCACAAGTGCTCAGTCAGTGCGTACCAGTGTTGAGATAAACTCTAGCTTCTCCAGGCAGCATGAGACTAGAATTGTCTTTTGGGCTGGACTTAGGATCACAGGTTGGAAAAGACCTTTAAGGTCATTCTGAACCATTAAATCCAAGTGGAAGCGAGAGCCTTGTGTTGGATGCTTCGTTTTGTTAGTGAACCGAGGGTTGCTTTAAACAGTCAGTGAGTTAATCATAAAGAGAGGATGTTTAGTAGTAATTGGTAAGAGTGACCATAGTCTTCAGTGACGGAAAAGCTTAAGAGGAAGGGGAGAAAATGCACAGAAATGTATTTTCCTCATGCTGCTAGCTTTCATATCATTCTGTTGAGCGTAGTCTCATGTCAGAATGAGATAGTAGCAAATAGAAACCCACTAAGTTTGTAAGGGAATGTGACCTCTGTGTCAGCAAGAGAGGAAAGGCTATCCTGTCTATTTTTTCTGCTTTAGTGGCTGAGATAGGGCTTGAACGGTGGCAAAGCAAGCACAGCTTCTCTAACGGCAGCAGAGCGTTTCAGCAGAATTTGCAGTACGACTTGAAATTCTGCAGAGACGAGTATGTTCAGCTGAGTTGCTAATAGCTGCTTTCTGCAAAGCAGCCAACTCTCTGCACCTCGTTTTCCTATCCCTGGTGCCCTGTTACACACGCCTGTGGGACATGGCTGGGTTTCTTCACTGTTTGCATTTGTAGCCTGTATGCAACCCTAGTCTGAAGATGTTTTTAAATCAGAATTTGTGTGTCAGTTGCTTTATTTTGCTTTATCCGAAACCTCATGAAGATGAAGTGCAGAGCAGACGAGCATTTTGTGTGGCCTTTGCATTCTTTGGATCTGCTGTGGCACCAGTGCCGCTCTAGAGAAGCGCTTAGCAAAGGCGAGCGCGTAGATTGTGCAGTCTCGGTGCTTTAGCTAATATTTTCTTAGATAAACAGTGATAGTTTGTTTGTCTCTTAGTAACAGTTTATTTTCTAGGATCACACAAGAGTTGGTGCAGATACCTCTCAGGATATACAGCTCTTTGGGATAGGAATCCAACCAGAACACTGTGAGATTGATATTGCTTTAGATGGAGAAGTTACACTCACACCAAAAGAAAACGCAAGGTAAGGAGGGTCAGCAGCACTTTCCAATGAAGTGTTTTCTTTACCAGAAGACAGCTTGCATGCATTTTTATTTTCCATCGTTGTAAGTACCTCATGTTATTGCCCTCTACAACTACCTAAAAGGAGGCTGTAGTGAGGCTGGTGCTGGTCTCTTCTCTCTAATTACTAATGACAGGACAAGGGGAAATGGCCTCAAGTTGCGTCAGGGTAAGTTTAGATTGGATATTCGAAGGAAGTTCTTCACTGAACGAGTGGTGAGGCACTGGAACAGGCTGCCCAGGGAGGTGGTGGAGTCACCAACCCTGGAGGTGTTTAAAAAAAAAGTAGATCTAGCACTTGAGGCTGTGGTGTAGTGGTTAGGTATGCTGGGATGAAGGTTGGACTAGATGATCTTCAGAGGTCCCTTCCAACCCCTGATATTCTGTGATTCTGTGATTCTGTGATTCTGTTCAATGAGTAGCTTCAACAGAGGTGGCTTAAAAGTGAAAAATTCAGTGATAAAACTGAGATTTCCCCACACGTGCACCCACCCACCCGCTGTGCAGCACAAGAGGCTCAGAACAAACCCTTGCAAGAGGACGCTCAGGAGGAGCGAGGGACCGTTACGTGTCTGTACCTTGTGTGGTGACAGGGTCATGGAGACCTGCTGGCTGTTCCAGCTCTCGCCATAGGGCAGTAGGTTGTCTCTTGATGGGGGAGGATAAACTCTCCCTCGTGGGCAGTCCCTGTTGCAAAGCTCAGTGTTTTGTGAGGGAGAAGTGTTGTAAAGGTCTGAATATCTTTGCATTTTTTCCTAAATATTTAATTTCTGTTGCGTCTAGTAAATACGGTTTGTGGAGTCACGTTTCTCCTTTGTGTTTCTGCTTCTGTATTTTAATTATTTTTCATTTTGGGGATGCTGTGACTGCTTGAATGGAATTTTAAGTGTCTTTTGTCACTTTATCTCCCAGTAGCACCTGATAAGCAGTGCCTTTGTCCAAGTTAATACTCATGCTGCTTGCCTGAAATCTGAGAATCTAAATAATATATAGATTACTGTTAGAATGAGAAGCCAAGGTTTGAGAGACACATTTTAAAAATCTTTGGTAAAATACCTCACAGCATTTACATTTTTCTTCTGAAGCCTGAAGTACATAATTTCAAACAGATGAGATTGAGACTCTTGGTGATAAAGTTGTTGTACTGGAAATCAGCCGTTTTTGAGATACTAATGTCACAAAAATTTCGTTCTGAGAATTTCGTTGAAGAAAATAAAGATCTGGTTTTAAATCAAACGCTTGCGTGTTTGTGTTGACTTGAGCTAAGACAGCTGAATGCAGAATGCTGCGTCTGAAAAAGCTTTTTTCATTTTACTTTAGGTGTTTTTTTTCCCCTTTCAAATAAAATGTTCTGCTTTGTGAGTCGCATATGCAGAGTCACATAACAGCTCCTTTTTTCCCATTTTGTGATTGAAACTTAAATACAAAGAAACCCAAGTGCAAGTATAGCAGCACACCAGATGTTCACAAAACCAGACCCTTGTTCATAACAGAGACTCCATTTGTCGAAAGAATGAATCTCAGATCTAAGGGTCTTTTCTTATTGAGTATGTTAACAGTGTGTTCTGCAACTGGGTGGACTAACTCGAATCTTGGAGAGCTTGATCAGTGGGATTTGCGCACAGCCAAGTTAACGGAGTGTTTGTAAGAAACGGGCAGTGACCCAGTTTGAGAAATGGGCGTTTAAAGGTGCAACTAAAAGCAGCCTCATGTGTCTGCGTCCCGAAGGGCTGCAGCAGCCAAAGCTAGAGTGGAAAGGTGCTTTGTCTTTAATTCTGATGGCAGAAATCAGACCAGTAACTGTCTCTTTTTCTTTTTTTTATTTATTTATGAGAACCTAGTAGATTTGTGCATTGTGTGATACCAGTCACTGTAGATGGAAGAAACGGTAGCTCTTGCAGTTGCTTTTCAACCGTTTAATTTTAAGATTTCACTGAAGTTGTATTTCCTTCTTTCAGATCCTGTGTAAATGGTGCACTGGTATGTTCTGTCACTCAGTTATGGCATGGAGATAGAATATTATGGGGAAACAACCACTTTTTTAGGTAATAGCTGATATTTATGTTCCATCATTTTTGCATCCAGCCTATATTTTTTTCTTACACTGTTCTGCATCAACTTTTTACAAACCGAATTTCCATTTTTACACAGAATCAATTTACCAAAGAGGAAACGACGAGATTGGCTGAAAGACATTGAGAAAGAAACTTCATTAGGAGAGCATGATCTGGATGCAGCTAGTGAAGCCTCTTCAGAACCAGACTACAACTATGAGTTTGCACAAATGGAAGTTATTATGAAAACACTGAATAGTAATGGTAAGGGAACCGCCGCATAACAATGTTCTTTTTGGATTGTCTAACAAACAATTTCTGGGTAGAACAAGTGGTACACTTGACTCAGGGGCCTTTAGAGAATTTTCAGAAAAAGATATTTTACAGTTACAGACGTTAGGCACAGATATAATAAATAAATAAAAAAGAATATGTGCACCCAGGTATAAACACACATACATTAGCAGTTGGTTTGTGCCCTGCCACACAATTTTATCTGTGCATCTATGGTTTATAGAGGAGCTGAGCTGTAATCATGCGCCTGTCAAATCATCATCCAAGGCCTATTAGCCTCTTTTGCAAGTTCCTGCAGACAAAAGGATGCTCCAGATATGGCTCACTTGATCTTTTGTGACAAAATTACTGACACTCTTTTAACCTTGATAGAAAAACACTGAAATGATAACAAACCTGTAGTCAGCTGTTAGCTAGCATGCCTGACCACTCTCAAAGTTTGATTTACTCTTTGTTAAAACCTGTTGTGATGCCTTTTTTGGACAGTATAATAAAATACAGTATATAACAAATAATGGCATGGTATGTATAAACAATACCGTGTTTTCCAGAAGGCAAGTCATAGGGTGTAACATGGTAGGAAGGAATGCTAAAAAACATGGTCAACTACGGAGTGCTTTGTACAAGTTTTTTTAAATTCACGAAATTTGAGAGGCAAATACCTTGATTTTTTAGTCGCTGACTGAAAAGACACAGTAGGTGGTATTTTATTGCTTCCTGTTCTCCTTTTTTTTTTCTCGTATTTCCATTGTTTGCTGTGGTTTGCTTGTTAAAATTTAGCATTTACTTTTTGGGAGTCTTTTCTTATTCTTTAATTTTCTCTTGTTCTGCCTGTGAATACAGCACAGTGCTTTCCTGTGCTCAGGGCTCTAGCAGTAGCCTGAAGATTTCTTACGGTTTGATTTTACTGAGATTGCTTGTGTGAGTGAGTTACAGGGTCAGGTCGTTTAAATTAATGTGAAATTACCATGTGATAATGGGAATATTCTCAATATGGTTCGCTCATACCAGGAAACGAATTTCAGGTGAATCTGCCATCCTGGTGATCTGTGTTGTCGTCCCTCGTGAAGATTCTGTTGCCTGTTTTAAGGCCTCAAACCATCCCGTATCTGTGCCAAAGCTGAGACAAAGGTTCTGAACTCGATTGGCTTGTGCATGAGAAGGAATTTGAAAGCGTTAATTGATGCTTGATCTGCTTGTGGCTGACCGGGGATTTCACTGAACTGTTGCAGCTGAGGATGAGGCAGTGTTCTTTGTGGGTTTTTTTGGTTTTAGTGTGTTGGTTTTCTACCTGATTGGGATGTCTTTCAAATGGCTTTACGTGTCAGTTCAGTGGGCTTTTTTGATTGTGGTCCGGGCCAATTTTTGCTGAAGAAGGGTACAGACCTTGCTGTTTCCTCAGTGCTCCTTCCCCCTAACGCACAGCAAGCGTTCACGGTCGTACACGTCACGTCATAACCGAATTATTCTGCTTCTATCTCTGCTGCTCCCTCCCACGTAGGTGTTCCTTAACTAAGTAGGAGTAGTAAGCGATAATAAAACCTCGCCAACACAAGTGGCTGTGAGGATCATAGGCTGGTTTTTGGATGTAAAGCTAGAGAGCCCTTGCAGGTTCCGTTCTTCTCAATGGTTTAGCTAAAATACTTCTTTTTTTTTTTTAACCTGTATTCTGACAAGCTTCCGGTTTGTTGGGTAAGAAGTAAAGCAGCTTTGTTACAATATTATTTATTTATTCTTCCCCCAAATGACAAATGTGTAAAGAAGAAGAAAAAACTAAAGAACTGCAAGGTGTTCATTCTATTATCCACATTCTCTGGACAAACCCTAGGAGGGGAACAAAGGACTATTTTAAAAATTTTCTTAGATAATTATTTTATAGGCATATAATGATACAGACCAAAGCAAGCGGTTTAGGATTGCCTGTGTTTGGGGTTTTGGGGTTTGGTTTTTTTTGTCTCCCCTTGATCTATTTGGGACCAGTAGCCCTTTTTAAATAAATAGCCCAGCTTCTCCAGGGCGCAGACATGTTTGTTTTTATGGCATGTAACCAGTACAACAGCGTCACATATTGAATCCCGCTCAAAAGAAGCTCCGAGGAAAATGTGAAACTTTGAAAACAGCTGTAAGGAAAGCATCCAGATTGTTTTATCCCTTCGGCATGTTAACCTTTTCTTTGTGGGATTCTGTCAGATCAGCTGGGTACTAATAATTCGCAGTGCTGGTCAAACACAGAATGCAGCAAAGAAGTTTATTCTTGTGGAGTGTGCAGTGGTTGAGTAAACTACATGATTAGGTTATGCAGCTTCTTATTTAAAATGCACGTACAGGGAATCTTAAGGAATTGATTCAGCATTGTTGTTACTGAATTAACAGATTCCAGGTAAGTGGAAGAAGGGACGTTGCAGCAAGGTAACAACCGCTGTTCCTCCAATGGAGAAAGAGCCTTCTTGTGGTTTAGTGTTAGTTTTCTAACATTTTGCAGAGGATTAACTGCATGGGAGTGGTCTTTTCAGGGGGACTGAGCTCTTGTCATAAGTAAAGGTAAAGGGGAGGGATGTGGGACTTTTAACACTGTTTGGCCTTTGCTGTGCCTTTGGCAGACACTGGGTAATATCTGCCCTGATTTGTTTGACTTTGCATGAGAAATCCAGAGTTGTGGGACATGGTGTTTAAACCTGACTTAAAACACTATTGTAGTTCTTTTGAATTGTGAAAAACGGGACTGTTTATTTTTTCAGCTTCTAACTAGGAGGTTTATAATTCACACCATATTTTGCCTTTTCACTGTGAAGAGCTTGGGGTTTTCTGTGTCAGCTCTGTCAAAAGTTAAATGGAAGGCCTTTCTAAAAGTATAAGTTTGCCTTTTCCATTTCAATACAGTCATAACGCACTTTTCCCTCACCCCAGCAGTTGATTTCACTGAAACTGGAAAGTTTTAGGCTTTGTTCTTGCATCTTGCTCCAAATATTTTCCACAACAGAATCTAATCCTGTGGTGGTTGTGATCCTGCAAAACTAGATGATTGAGAAGATCACTTTTATTATGGAAATCTACTCTCTGAACTCAGAGATGGTCTTTGAGGAGTTTAGAAAAGTCTTTTCTTAATGAGTCAGCCTTAGATTCATTTCCTGTGTTTGCAAACACAATAGAGGGGTTTTAATTTCTTCCATGCCTCTATCTTCTGCATAATACCTGACTTCTCAAGTGTTCTGACACGCAACTAAAACTGTTTCAGGGACTATGCAGTACAACCTATGCATGTCAAGGTAATTCTGGTGTTATCTAGGGGGGTTAGGAGGCTAATGATGATGCAGATCAACATTAATAACTTGGTTTGTAGTCTGAGGTATTGCAGTGTGGTTCAGATAATTTCTATTGCCCTGTCTGTTTAAAAGCTAAAAATAGCTAACTGGCTTTCTGAGAATGTCATGTACTAAAAAGTGATATTTCTGGTTATTTTAAGACACTTTCATGCCTCACTGTTTTGCTATTTGGTTGCTGTTTGTGCTGACTGATTTTTAACTTTGCGCTTTGCACGTACCATTGTGATGGCATTTTATGATGCCTTTGGGTGAAGGCAGTGATTTCTTCTGCAGGTAAGGCTGGGGCCACAGCAGCAACTTGCAAAAGTGTTTATTTTCTGGTAAAAAAATAAAGATGTGCCTTACATCAATCCTGCTATTTCAATAGAGGATGCTGAGAGGCAAATAGAGAACCCTGGAGATCCTGTTGGCTTTTCTGACACGTATAATAGGAAGGATTTGTTTTATGAAGTGACTTCCCTCAGTGAATGTTAAAATCACAGACAGTGACTTAATTTATCTTCAGTGAAATGAGTCTCAGTAGTTTTAGTGCTAAGTAAGTTGTTACACATTGCTATAAATACAGTAATGCTGCCTTGGTTTGAGAGGATACAGGGGATGTGGTTTTGGGGAGAGGGTACCTGTGTGTTGGGGTGCCCAACATACCCTGCTAGTGATGGAAACCCCACAGAACCTTCCCTGTGAATCCTCCAGTGCGTGCTACAGTAACCCCATTTCTGTGCCTTGTAGCACTGCACAATCAGGAAATCTTTGATGGGGAGAGGCAAGGTGGTTCATAACTCGATCTCACTGATGTGGGTTTGGGTTTGGTTTTTTTTTTGAGAAGCACACCTCTAGTTCCAAAACAAGAGATAGTTTAATTAAATCTAGGTTTGTTTTTCTCCCTCTGTTGTCACAGACTGGCATCCTTAAAAGTCACCAATAATATTTGCAAAATGGAGGAGGTATCACAAACAGTTATTTTAAATCTGGTTTGAGTTTTGGTTTGGTTTTTTTTGCATTTGAAAATCCTGGCATGTCCCAGAGTTGCAACGTTACTTCTCCCTAGTAATGCACCACTCCAGCTGTGGAACTCCTCTCCCTTCCCCTTCGGATGCGGAGCATCAGCAATCTGTTCGGTGATGTGCTGTCACCCAGATATCCTTCTGGATTGCTGTAGTTAAGCTTTCAGATAGATCTACCTGCAGCAGGTATATACTGGTAGTATACAGGAGGAGCTTATTCCCTTGAATTGCTCTTTCAGAGGCAGCGTCTGGCACTGGACCTAAACCCAGGAACAGAGTAATGTTTCTTCAGTTTGAATGCAATTTAGTTTTAACTGTATCTGATGGCCACAAGCAATTGTTTCAGGATAGGGAATCCAAAGGGATGCGTGTTCTGGATTGATACCCGGGGTTTGTGAAGCTGAACGCACAAGTGCCCCGCGAAGGTGCTTCGGTGCTGTGAAGCACAGCAGCGCAGAGGGATGCGTCAGACAACTTGTTTGGCTCAGTTTTCATCTGCAGCTCTCCGGCCTGTTTAATTCTCTGCCAAAATGGAGAAAGTAAATTGCTTTTTGCTTCCTTAAGTCATTTCCTTCTCTGGTTAGCATCATCTTCCCTTGTAGTTAGCTTGTTTTCTTTTTATTAATTTGTTCCCTTTTTTTCCTACTGGGATTCCGGAACATATTATAACCTCACAGTACTGAAATATGGAGTAGACAAGGGTCTTAACCATTGTTCTAACTTCATTGCATGCTGTTTTGTTTTTTTTTCCTTCTTATTTGGATTTATCTATTTAATGCAATATTTATTATTTTGGCTCCTGTTTTGGGCGGCCGTGGCCATCTTGTTTGAAAAGACTCTGGAATATGTTGGTTGCTGTTATCAAATAAATCATGGGTGTTCTGTAATGCTGAAATGGCATTTTCTCACCTTTTTTTTTTTTTTTTTTTTTAAGACCCTGTACAAAATGTGGTCCAGATCTTGGAGAAACAGTACTTGGAAGAGAAGCGGAGCGCTCTTGAGGAGCAGCGGCTGATGTACGAACGTGAGTTAGAGCTCCTGCGGCAGCAGCTCTCTCCGGAGAGGCAGCATCAGCACGGCAGCGACAGGCTCTCCTACACTGCCCAGACTGCCCAGCAGAAAGTAAATCTCTGGACAGAAGAGAGGTGAGAATACTGGAGTTAAAACCAAGGAATTAGTAAGAACTGCAGAGGGTGAAAAGATGGGGCTTGAACCGTCTGTCAGAAACTGATAATGGGGTTTTTTGTGGACATGCAGTACGAGATCTGCCCCCACTGAAGCACTCATTGGGGCCTAGTTTCTGATGCATCGTGTGGACAAGATCTTCCTATTTGATTTAACACAAAAATGAAATAAGAATTTAGCTGTTATTGGTCAGCATTATAGCTTTGGTTTTGATTTTTAGCTAGAAAAGTGCTTCTTAAGTGTTTGATTTATTGTTCAATTCTGGAAACAAACAGAAAGGATAGTGCAGAGGTAAAATTGTCAGCTAAGACTCAGGAGTTGCTAAAGGTCTGTTGTGTGTTGTGAGTATACAAGGAGAGCACAGTATTTTGCAATCTAAACCCCATAAAAATACAGAAAATGGGAGTCCTTATATGTTGTATGTACGCGTTGCTAAAAGTAAGCTCAGCTTTAGAAGAGAATTGCTGTGTAGTTAAGGACAGCGGGATAGTCGCACAGAGTATGTGTGAGTTAATTAGGAAATAAAAGGCTCACCACAAGGTGAAGAGACCTCTTTGCAAAGGAATATTTTGGCTCGTGAACACAGCCTTGGTAAAAAAATCGGCGTGAGATTTGCAGGGAGAGTTACAAAAGCCGACTGGAAAGCTTTGAGCAGAGTTCAAGAAGCACAAGTGTGTTTGCACCTTGACAGCGAGAGAAGCTTGCTCTTAGTATCGTCAAGCCAGCTCCATGGAGAGGAGTTCTAGGGGCAGCAACTGAGATGATTTTAAGTTTTCTGCATAGAAATGTTATGTCAGTGGGTTAACTCACCAGAAAGAGTGACTTAATGTTCTAACAGGTTTCTTCTAAGTTTCTTTTTAACCTATTTCCTTTTAAAACAGAAGCTTCATTATTCACTCAGCACTTTTTTATAGTGAATTTCAGTGCTCTTTCTTATTTTGATTATTTTTGCTTTATTCTCCACCATTAAAAAAACCTAAATAAATCCATGTACAGGGGAACTACAAACATAGACAAGACAAGCTTTCAAATTCTGAATATTAGAAATAGAACAGATCAGATCTTGGATACGTTTTTATGCAAGGCTTTGGTGTGTAATTTCTACTCAGTTTGGCCTGGGAAGGAAAAGAAAAAACCTAAACAAGAAACAAACCGTTGACCAGCACTGACTAGAATGTTTTCCATGGTGAGTATAGGGAGAAGCAGTGCTACGTTTCAGCTTCAGTTAAAAGAACTGTTTGCCCTGTAAGAGCTAAAAACAGACTCACTGGGAACTGAATGTGAAGCATTGCAGAGTCGTGGTTGGGATTTTTAGGCTCTTTTAGGGTGGCCAAAAGTGCACAATGAGAAACATGCTACTTGGGATCGTTGCTCTTCGGAACTGCTTTGAGCACGGCAAGGCCATCCCGAAATCATCGCTAAGCCACTTCAGTCGCAGAGATGAGAACTGGACTTACTGGCAAGGGAAGCAATGTCTCTGAAAAGATTCAACAGAAGGAAAAGGGAAGCAGCTAAAAACTTTCCTGGCCTTGAGAGATGACAGGAGTATAATTGATCACCCAACCACCATGCCCATGTAATGACATTAAAAAGAAATGGGAATCTGGAGTGGTTTCAAGGCAAAGTGTTCTGCCAGCCTTCTCAGGAGTTGTTAACATTTCTTAGGAGGGTTTGTGCTTTGAACAAGTGGTTTTGCCTCTGAATTTCCTGGGTGAATGCTTTACTCTGTGTAAATGTTGAACTACTTTGTAGCGCTCAGTGAGGAGTGTGATAACTTTTTGGGGGCACTGCCACTGATTAAGCAGTTTTCTGGAAGAACTAATTACCTATTTCCTGTTCTCTAGAAGATCCTCTTGGCTATACTTTTTAATTATCTGTAGTTCTGAAAGACATTTGGGCTTCTCAAAAAAGGGGCAAAAATTTTGACTCTTCTTAAATAAGGAACCAGAAAAACAATTTTTGAGGGATTTCTGCTGTAAAAGCATGACAACACAGTGCTAAGAAGGTATTTACTAGCCAGCTGGCTAGAGGGCAAGAAATGCAGGAAAGAAACAGCAAGACTGGATACAAAGAACGTGTGAAAGAGCCAAGTGTCTGGATTACACGGGATTTTATGAGAGCAGTTTTAGCTGTCGCTCTGTTGCCATTGCAAATAAAGCTGAGCTCTACCAGATCAGCCAGCAAAAGGAATTTGCTCGGTGTTAGGTGCAGGCACGTGGTCGTACCTGTCAGATCCGCCAGAACACGTTGGGCAGAGTTTATTCTCACTTTATGCTGACTGTGGAAGGATGGATGATACCTGACCTGACGTTCAAAGCTGTCGGTATAAAGTTCAAACCCCATTGTAACTTGGGACCAGTGTAATTTGGCGAGGTGGGCAGCGGTGGTGTTACTGGACCAGGGGTTTAGTTCAGTGTATTCTGTATCTGGTATTAGGAATCCCAGAGACTTGCCATGAAACCTCGTGAGCGTCAGATGTTTAAACACTTATTTCAGGATTTTACGTTCAGTGGGCATTTGCGTCAGCTAATATCCTAGTGGAGCTTGTCATAGGTTTTGTGTGGTGAGAATTAAGAAATCCTGACTGAAACCTTTTTTTTTTTTTTAAATTTTTTTTTTTGCTTGAGTTTCTGTCAGGATGCTGGCACAGCTCTGTATGGAAAACCACAACTGTAGTAAGAACTACCCATAATAACTGGCTGAGTTACTTGTAAGCCCTCCTCATAGTCGTAAACCATTCCTTTCTCAAGAATCCAGCCTAAGACAAGATTGGTACGGGAGCCTCCCCCAAAAGCTCGCCAGATGCCAGGTTCTCAGATCAAGGCAGGGACTGGCTGTGGCCAAATCCCACGGCTCTTACAGATCAAAGCTGCCTTCTGCTTCTCAAGCCGGAGAGCTGTCTCGCAGTGGTTGCGGGTGTAACGCGCTCTCAGTATTAAGGGCTATTTAGTGAGTAATTTTTGACTCTTACCTTCATTTTCTGGGTGAACCCAAAATTATGGCTGGCTGTAGAATGTGTCGCTCCCATGCTCTGGAATTGCTCATTGAATCTTGATGGCCTGGGTAACAGAAGCAAGAGACAGAGGGAAAGGAGTTCTCTGTGTAACGTCAGGAGCAGATATTGAGGAAATGAACTAAAAATCCACTGACAGTAGCAGCTATTTAAGATCCAACACAAGCCACTGCTATTGCAAACGTAGGCTGAATAGGGGCCAGGGACAAAGCTGTGTGTTACAGCGTGTTGAAGGCACTCACATTTGGGGCTGCTTGCTAAAGCTGCTGTCCTTTACCTCTTTAGTGTGGTATTGGGGAACCAGCAGAGTGCAATTTGAATTACCCAGGCTGTTCTTTGGAATAATTTGGAAAAAAGATAGCCACTCAAGAAGAATTCTGTTGGGCACCAGAAGGCCTATTTACGGTTCTTTGTGGTCTGTACTCTAAAGACATACAGAAGGTCTAAGCTTACCTGAATAAAGGCAAAAAATTTGACTTTGCCTGTGTTCACAGCAGGGCTCGTAAGTTTAGTTGTTCCCTGGATAATCGTGATATTTTTTTAAAAGCAAATTAAAGATGAGAATCCCAGGTGAGAAGGGATCTTAGTATCGCAGGTGGAGGTGTAGTATGTGTCATAGCAGGTTTGCCAGGTGTTACGTTAGAAGAGATTTGCTCACACAGGCCTTGGGATCGTTTTGGAATTTGTCCAGAGAGCGTGAGCTGTACGGAGCACACAGGCTTTAACCTGTGCTCGTTCATCTGTCGCTTTCAAGGCACTTTGGGTATGTAGGACTTAAGAGGATTCATTATTTTTTTCAACATGTGCGCTCGAGATGGCTTCAGGCTGTGGTGGGAGGCCTGGGGGTCTGCAGCGCTGCGCAGGCTGGGCTGTGACGCAAAGCCGCGGCCTGCAGCCATTGCGGCGTCCGACATGGTGAGCTGAGGAAAAGCGGCTTTTATCAAGATGAAGTCTCACGTGTTGGGGCCGGTAGTTTCAGTGGAGCAGGACTCCAGATTAAAGACAAAGAGAGCTGCAATTATTTCATTTCTTGGAAATTAGGAATGCCCCTGGGGCTTTTAATAAATCATCCCTGTAAGAGCTCCCGAAGTGCTGTGCCCTTTTATTTGGGCATTGCTGCGCTAGACTTAGCTCAACAGTAACATGGTTGTTTAATATGTGATCATGGCTTTCCCATAATAAAAGTGTCTGACCCCGTGTTGTGTTTACTGACATAGTGCTAAACAGCATCTCTTCTCCAACTTGTTTCAGTAAAGTCTTTGTTAGCACCTCTATTTGCAGCTTTCCAATAATAGAAATAGGTTTTTGTGTATTTTTCATGTTACCTACTGCACCACAGGGATGAATTGTTTCGACAGAGCCTGGCTAAACTTCGAGAGCAGATAGTAAAGGCAAATACACTGGTGAGAGAAGCAAACTTCTTAGCAGAAGAAATGAGTAAGCTAACAGATTATCAAGTAACGCTGCAGATCCCTGCTGAAAACCTCAGTGCCAACAAAAAGGTAATGACAACAAAGAACGCTGGAAAATGTGGTTTCATGACTAATCTAAAATATGTAGACACATGTATATAACATTCATCTAACTTGATGTTATTTTTGTCACATTATGCCTAGGCAAAATATGGGTGCTACCTGACTTTAATATGTTGAAAGTAAATAATTATAAGTAAAAATAGGAACATACCATCAAGTGTGGCTCTTGCGGTTTTCTCAAGTGTATGATCACCATGCGCACGTTTGGTTTGTGAACAGAGATTTGGGTTCCGTTGCTGTAAAACCTGCATTTTAGTTATGTTTGCTGAAATTACGGTGTTTCGCTACACGCCCGCGATTTTTTTTCCTCTTAAGCGTTTTCTAGTTGTGGTGCTGGTGTGAGTATAATGATGGAGTCAGGAGAATATGCTTGTCATAAGTGATTTGATTGAGAGTGTTCCTGTTCCTGATGGAGAGTGTTGATGTTTCTCTGTGAATGGTATCTGAGAAGGACAAAGAGGTCTGGATCCTGAGGGGTGCACAGGGCGTGGTGCGTTTAGGGACAGAGGTAATATGGGCGGCACGCAGAGAGAAGTGTATGTCCTGTATCTTATTCCTTTTTAGGAATGGAATCTGAGTGAAGAGTTAAACTGCTTAAATGCACCTTTCCTGCAGTGATTGTTTTTTCCTCTGATTTAGAGGGGTGCAATTGTAAGCGAGCCTGCTATTCAAGTGAGAAGAAAAGGAAAAGGTACTCAAGTGTGGACTATAGAGAAACTAGAGAACAAATTGATTGACATGAGAGACCTCTATCAAGAGTGGAAGGAGAAAATACCAGAGGTATTGTATATATTTTCTGAAAAGGTTCAGAGATTGAGTTTGTTTTCTTTTAAGCCCTTCTGTTGTGCAGACTGAGTGGATGGTTTTGTATGTGAAAGGGTGTGGTTATTGTGGTTTTCTTTTTAAAAAAGAAAGAAAAAAGTATGAATAATAGAAAACATTCAAATTCCTGTGCATAATATAACACAGCTGTGTGTTATCCTCCCTTGCATTCTCAGGTATGGTTGTGCTGTGGTAGTGACTCAGGAATACCACTAAGAGCGTGTGTTTACCTGGCGTAATATAGGTGCCATGCAGCTAAGCGCCGGCTCAGAATACAAGCAGCAAGCTGAGCTGGAAATAAAGTTGTTAAATTGTGGTCAGTATCAAAGCTAGCAAGGATTCTGCTTAGAGACACTCAGGGTGCAGAACATATTAGTGGGATACAGTTTGATCTTAAAATGTGAAATGGTTTGTAATTTCATTTGTATATCCCCCAACCTTAAAGCAGCGAAGAAATCAATTGAAGATACTTGTCTACATCAGTATCTCCATCCAAACTAAGTGGTGTTTGCTGGGAGTATAAGTAGCCCATTAGCACTGGCAAAGAAACAGGAGACTTGTCAAAAGCTTGCTGGTTTGCCGGTAAGAAATAGACCTGAGCCTTGGTGTTCCAGAAGATGCGCTTTAAGTAGCCACGCAGAAGTGCGTAGGAGATGTGTCTTGCTGTCTCGTGGCTGATAGGGAGCACCTAAATCACTTGTGTCAAGAATCATTCTCAAATATGTTTGAACAGCTGTTGTGCCTTTGTTACATGTCTTGGACGGGACAATGGGAATCCCTAAAATCATAACACAGGGGAGGTCAAGCACTTCATCTGTGCCCATTGAAGACAACGATGATTTTGCTGCTGACTTTAGTAAGAACTGATAGCAAATCCTTTAAATATATCATGTCTGCCTGAGCCAGGATCATCCTTGCCATGACCTATGTCGTCCATAATGCATGTGTTCTATGTGCTGCATAGAAACACGTAGGTCAGCTGCATGCCTTGAAGGTGGAGAAGGGAAGGAGCTAATGAGACTGCTGAGGAGTGCATATGGCGCTAGGAATCTGCATGATTTCTTTGTGGCTGTGTATGGGGTAGAAAATGCTGCAGATGTGGTCTCAGCTCTACCGGAATGATAAGACGACTTGTAGGCTTAACTGGGAGTCGTCCTGCACCTTCCCTTTTGCCCCTGTCCTGGTACCCAGCAGCCAGGCCAACAACTCGACCTCGGGATGATTTGTCCTTTCATTTAATAACTGTAAGCAGAGCAGAAGAGTAAGGTGAAGCATCTTGAAATCGGTGGCTACTGTGCTTGCTCATGGTGAAATCTGCTTTGTCTTGACACCGCTGAAAATTGTAGGACATCCTATTGCTATACCCCACGGTAAAGAGAGGATTGTAGAATGTCTCATCTCAGAGATTTCACTTCAGATTTGTGATACGCTTCTAGTCTCTCTACTTGTGTAACAGGAAGGGACAGATCAGATCGGTAATGACTTCATTGTTGTGCCATGATCTTAGACTCAGTGGTTATTTGATTTTTGTGCTCCCACGCTTACGTTTTTGGGTTTTGTTGTTTTGATATTTTTCTTTAGTAACTGTTATGATCTTTAAAACAGATACGGAAGCTGCTTGGCAAGAGAGGCGATCCTTTTTACGAAGCGCAAGAGAACCACAACTTGATCGGCGTCGCCAACGTGTTCTTGGAGTGCCTGTTCTCGGACGTGAAGCTGCAGTACGCGGTGCCCATCATCAGCCAGCAGGGGGAGGTAAAGTCTGACGTGCAGGGCACGGCTGGGAGCTCACACCCGCGGCGGGGACAGGGCGTGTCTGCGAGACTTCGCGGAATCGTAGAACAGTTTTGGTTGGAAGAGACCTTCAAGATCATCGAGTCCAACCTTTGTCCTGTTCCCAGTTTTCGTTTTTAACAAGCGAATGACACTTACTGCCTTGTTTCCCAGTGAATGAGTGTTTTCCTCCATGTGTTTTCTCTGTAAATGTTTACGATTGCCCAGCAGCTAAAGGAGTAGGATAAAATTCCTATTAGTCAACGTGGGTATCTGAGCAAAACCCAGCCTATTAAGGTTCTGATGTACAGCTATGACACTGCATTTCTGTTGTGTATGAATTGATGTGGTGGTGTTGGGTCTTAGGCTGGACTTGATGATCTCGGAGGTCTTTTCGAGCCTTGATAATTTTATGATTCTGTGAAAAGGTCAATAGTTCTGCATACAGATGCTTTTTCTTTTTTCCCTTTCTCCTCTTTTTTTGACGTCGTTGCTTTTCATTTAGTGATTGAGAGCTGTTGAGTCCCATTCCTGCACACCCCTGAGAGTTATCTATCTACAACCTTAATGTCTTTAAGCCACTCGTGCACAGGTTCTTACTGTTTGGTTTGCCGTAGGTTGCGGGACGGTTGCACGTTGAAGTAATGCGAGTCACTGGGTCTGTCCCAGAACGTGTTGTAGAAGGAGACGACTCATCTGAGAACTCCAGTGAGAGTGGGAGCCTGGAAGTCGTGGATAACAACGGAGAAATCATTCATAGGGTGAAGAAGCTCTCCTGCAGGGTGAGTGAGAATCCGTGATGAGGTTAACAGTATCAAGCCTTTGTAACTATGTAGTTAGTCTGATATAAAGTGCTAAGTTATGCAGACTATTTGCATGCTAAAAATTCTCTGAAAAGGGAAACTTCTCGTGTTCCGATTCAGTGTAGGTCAGTCTGTGGTTGCCAGTGGCTGAATTAACTCTGGCATGTGCAGGTCTGTGTCACAGCTGGTGATCTTACAAAGGCTGTCCCTGGCAGACATAAGGCTGCCCTTAGTTTGATCATCTAATGTAGTATCTGTGAGTGGTGTCTGGATTTCATTTCTTTTGTGAAAATGTGCTTTGTTCGCCACTTCCCGATAAGTGAGCTAGTTAGATGTGTGTGACTGCTTTCCTTGCATCTGCATTTCTGTATATGCAAAATACAAATTTCCTAAATGGGGACATCCTTACAAAGCAATTGGAGTTGTCCTTTAAAAATTCTTGGCTGCTGGTACTTTAGGCATAAATAGTTTTGAACAATTTACAGCTGCAGAAGAAACATGCACGTTGATGATGTTATTTGTCTTGTCTCCTCAGGTAAAAATCAAAGAAGCAACCGGACTGCCGCCTAACCTCTCCAACTTTGTCTTTTGTCAATACACATTTTGGGATCAATGCGAGTCGACAGTAGCGGCACCAGTGGTAGATCCAGATGTGCCTTCACCTCAGAGCAAAGACGCTCATTTCACAGTGACCTTCTCTCACTGTAAGGTAACTATTTTCATTATGAAGCAGTGTGACCAGGAGGGTGGTACGTTTGACATAAGCTGGTTAGAATTGGAGCCTTGTTTTGCTGGAGGAAGGGAGAAGGAATCAAGACTAGTGACTGTACTTGAGAATGCCATTATATTTCACTTCATCACTTCTTCAAAGTGCAGCAAAATAAAAAAATCTTTTAATTAGTGGTCAGATATCATCTTTAATGCATAGGGGAAACTATAATTTAGACAACGACATCTTATTATAGACTTGCTTTCTAAGCTTGGGCATTCGTGTAACTTGGTAACTTTGACATTGTTTTCATGGAAATTTTTAAAGCGTGAAATGCAGTGTGCAGAAGCAGGAGTTGCTGAGGTGATATGTTTCACAGTTTTCTTGACCGGAATCGAGCTTTATGATCCAAACTGTGTGGTCTTACCAGACAGGTGGTTAGTTATTTCGCGTGTCCTTACCAACTCGTTGAGAACATAGAGTTATTGCATTTGATTGGATATGATTTTGGGTTTCTTTTCTCACCACCAGGACTATGTGGTGAATGTCACAGAGGAGTTTTTGGAGTTTATTTCAGAAGGAGCTCTTGCTATCGAGGTGTGGGGTCACAGATGTACTGGCAATGGCAGCTCTGTGTGGGAAGTTGATTCTCTTCACGCCAAAACGAGGACACTGAGAGACAGGTACAAATAAATTACACGTGACTGCACCCATCAGCTTTCCAAAGGCTTTTCTCCTACTTGTGGTGTGCAAAATACATTTCGGTGAGGCAACTGTTAGTTTTTGTGGGGGTGTCGTTTTAGGTGGAACGAAGTAACTCGTAGAATAGAAATGTGGATTTCCATACAAGAGTTGAATGAGATGGGTGAATATACCGCAGTTGAACTCCATCAGGCAAAAGATGTGAACACAGGGGGAATTTTCCAGCTCAGGCAGGTATGTATCTTTTCCCTGTCTTCTCATTCGTGCTTCAATTGATTCTTAATTTTATTCTTAGTCTTCCTTTTTTTTTTTTCTTCTCTGTTTTGTTTTTTTATTCTCTCTTCTTTTCTTTCTATCTCTCAATTACCTGTTTCAGGGTCATTCTCGCAGAGTTCAGGTGACGGTGAAACCTGTACAACATTCGGGAACGTTGCCTCTCATGGTAGAAGCAATTCTTTCAGTCTCTGTAGGTGGTGTCACCGCCAGATCAACTAAACTGCAAAGGGGTTTGGACAGCTACCAGGTATGACAGTTAATTTTTCATGCATTAATCTGGTTTCATTTGGTTTTGCTGTTCTAGAGCCAGCCCAGCATAATTCCAAAAGAGACTTTAGCACACCATGATATTTTGCAGCTTTATAGGTGTTTGTGGTTAATACATACGATGCAAGCAGATGGCACTGTATCTGCTGCTTTTTTCTTTTTTTGTTTTTTGCTTGTAACTCAATGTATAAGTGATAAAGTAACAAGTGGGATGTTTATGTTTACGCAAGACAGCAGGAGTATGGAAGTGGTTTTTAGCTTTGCATGGTAAGGCGATTGGTACTACAGGGATGGTGAAAATTGAGAAGGGGGAAAGCAGAAAAAAATGAAAATCAGCGAAGAAAATGTCTCATAGTTGGAGACTATTTACCTTTTCAAAAAGGACCGAGTGGTTATTTGATCACGTGGCCATCACTGGATGGGAAAGGGCTATTTTGTGTAGCAGAATAAAATCCTTAAGAAGTATAAATGACTTCAAGCTGATACAGGACAAATTCACATTGGAAATAAAGCGTGATTTTAACAGTGATGGCAAAGAACAAGTGATTACATTCGGAACCACAAGTAATTGTAACTTTAAATACAGCTGAAACTCTACAACTTGAAGATTGGTGATCTGCTTGCTCAGGCCTTTCTCTGGCGCTGTGTTCTGTGGGTTTTCTTTTTTTTGTAAATATATGCACTAATACTCAAATGATTGTGGAGCTGCTGTAGCCTGTAATGGATAAAACCTGTTTCTGTGTGTTAATAAGACTTTGGTTATTTGAATGTTGTAATTTTAACATTTTACAAGTCTGTGGCAGAAACGTTTGTGTTTTGGGGTATTCCCTTGAGTTGCTGTTGAGAGAAACGCATGTGGGGGTTTTTTGGTTTTGGTTTCGGTTTTTTTTTCCCCGTCTTTTACAAAAATCTATTTTCTCCTACCAGAAGGAGGATGATGATGGTGGTGATATGGATAGTTACCAGGTATTGCTGCTGTTGCTGTCAATCCTGTGGCATGGGGCACAGCTAATGCTAATAGCCAGCAACTTTCAGATGAGCAAGCGTACTGGAGCAGGCAAAAGCGGCTTTGGAATACCTGCGTGCTGGGCATTTAAGAGGCTACTCGGGCTATAAAACACTGCTGCCTTAGTTTACCTCGTGACTTTATACTCTTGCAGTGTGCTCTCTTCTCTAGTACTCAGCAGTCAGCTCTCCTAACTGGCTCCGTGAATTGCTATGGCTGGGAACAAAAAAAAGAAAAAAAAAAAAAGCTGAGAATTCAGAATGAAAACTGTTTTTCCACTAAATATCTTAGGCAAAGAAACAACCACCTGCAGCTGCAGGCATCTTTCACCACTAAATTATACAGCATAGGATATTTTGTTTGTTTTCTAAACAAACCATCATAACCTTGTGCAGTTTTTTGAAATACTTGTGAGACAGAGAGGGAGGGGAGGATGCCAGTGGAGGGAATACAGAAGTTTCAGTGAAGCAGTTTTTTATGGTTTTTTTTTTACATCTACACAAAACTAAACCTCAAGCCTGTTTGGGGTTTTTTTTTGTGCAATAAGTTTATATAACACAGTCAGGATTTAGACAGTGTAACAGTAGACTTATTTGAAAGGTGGCGAAGGGCAGAAGAGGAAATGCCTAAAAAAGTAAAACACATTTCAGACTTTTTCAAGGAAGTCGTATTTGTAATAGGCAGCCTTATGGAAGTAAAACCAGTTAGGTGAGAATGCTGACCTCCCTTCAGTTAATGTGTTAGGCTTTACAGCAATCTCAAAAATACCAGTTAAGGCACTAACTTCTTGCGGGCTGTTTATGCGCTTCCTGGCGTATCACAGAGAAGAATGAACCAGATTTTCTGTGATACCACAAAGCATGGTTGCATGATGGGTTTTGTTTGCATGAGAAGACTTTTAATCGCACTGATAGCAGCTGCTAGCAATGGAATTTTATGCAAGTTTGAGGGTGTACTGACCTATCTAATCTTCAGGAGAACTTACGATCAACTCATGCTACCTCCTCTTCCTATTCCATATGCTACTAAAAAGTTTGATTGCCACTCTTGTGAGTAATTAGCCTATGGTGTATAATTCTGCTCATCCACCGAGGCAGTCATGTTTTCTTTTCCTCCTCTTGGAATCTGAGACTTGAAAGCAAATAACCTTCCATTCATGGGTAATGAGGTACTTAATCAGTGTGCATGTCATTTGGGGAAAAAAGTTTCCTGCATCAAGCTAGCTGTTTAATATCGCTTCTGATGAAATCATCGCAAAATACGCTGCCCTTGATTCTTAACCCAATAACTTTCTTTTCTCTTGCCGTGCTAGGAGGAAGATTTGAACTGTGTACGAGAGAGGTGGTCCGACGCGCTGATAAAACGCAGAGAATACTTGGATGAGCAGATTCAAAAGATCAGCAACAAGCAAGGTTTGAAGCTTAAAGGTCCTGTCATACATACTTTATTCCCTTCACCATGAAAAATGTGTCACGTGTATGATACTGATCTCTTTCACCATAGAAAAATCTGAGGATGACCTAGAACGAGAAGCTCGACTGGTTGAGCAGTGGGTAGGGCTGACGGAAGAGAGAAATGCCGTGTTCGTTCCAGCACCAGGCAGTGGAATTCCCGGTGCGCCTGCAAATTGGTAGGTTTAGAAAAACCGCTGGAGCGGTGAGCTTTTCCTCTGTGAACATTGCAGACTGCAAGGTGAAAATCTGAGGGTGTTTTAGAGCTTTCTACGTTTTCCCGTACTACTACAAATTCTGCTCAGCTGGCAGAAGGCTGGAAGGTCAGGTGCTGGTTTGAATCTAAGAAAGGTTTGCTTAGTTAGCATATTACATGAAGTAACTTTGAGGTGGTTTTCAAGGTTTGCAAATCACTTTTGAAGTCAACGTGCTATTGTACAAAATTCAGAAGAAAGCTATCCTGTAGTTTGACCTCTTTTGGAAAAAGAGTGGTTCAAAAATGAATGGTAAAACACATGATAATTTCATCGATAAGGGATGAGGAGGGAAGAAATTCTAATTTCAAAGGACGTGTTCTCTTCTGTTTGACTGGAATTTCTAATATTTCTCTTTTAATTTCATTTAAATTTGTGTCTTAGTTAAGATCGCTGGGAGTGACATGCGAAAATGAGGAATGCAACATGTTAGATTTGGGAAAGTGGACAAGACATCAGTCTCTTACCAAGTGTACACTGGTGTCTCTGCTGTATCTTTGCAATATATTGTCTCTGCAATATCTCTTCTGCAGTAGGTGACTGACGTAGTGACATGCTTTCCTCGCCACATTTCCCCTTGCCCACCTGAAGTGTGCTGTGGGCACAGAGCTAAAAGCGTATTTATTGACGTAAAGACCGTGCCTTGCCAGTAGTTCCCTGTGCGGTTGTTTGAGAGGTTGCTGCCCTTTGCATATGAGATGACTGCGGCCCGTTAGCTTCACCAGAAACAGAGCGGGGCGTTTAACGCTGTCGCCCTCCCAGTAGCTGAAACATGCCGTGGGGTGAGCTAAGTTTTGGCAAAGTGGCTGCGTTTAGCTGCCGGTGTAGATAAACAAAATGTTGTCTGTGCAACACAGGCCTTCAGATCAGCCATCAGAATGGTGACAACATTCGTCGTTTGTTACAGTTAATGAATCTTGGAGGGAAATCCGTTTGCCCCAAATAGCTGAGGTCTGAATTTGCCTTCTTTGTTGACAGTGGTTTGTTTTGTTCCAGGATTCCGCCTGCCGGAATGGAAACACACATACCCGTCCTCTTCCTTGATTTGAACGGTGCGTTGGAATAGCAGATTAAGAAACTTGGAGAGGGGGATGGGGGAATTGTTTGGATTGATAAATCTGTAAAGGGCAGAATGAATCTAAAATGGCTAAGTGAAGTAAATCCTGGCAATGGCACTGTCTGATGTGGCTCGTAAAATGTTTTTCTTCTGATTCTATAAAATAAGGATAAAAATGGGGGAACGTATGAGTACAAGGATAAGTTGTACAACAGAAAATAGCGCAAGCTTAGTTTAAATCAAGCGGCAGGTAAGAAAATCCTGTGAACGTTTTGATGTACCAATCCACATGTCATTAAAGCACTGATGGAAAATCTCCCAACGCTTTCAGCCCTCCTTCTGCTGAGGTATCTGTAGAGTCTTAAACAGCAGGTTTAATGAAGAGCATTAGGACTGTAAGGAGCAATTTGTTAACGATTCTAAACGTTCTCCCTTTGAAGGTATTTAGTTTTATGTGTGAGAAGTCTTAAGACATGGATCAGCAAGAGACTAGACTTAGCACCACATTTAAGGACTGTTCACGAAGCAAACATATAAACGTCAGCTTGGACATAAAGCAGAGGAGGATCCACAGGCCTTGTCACATCCATCCCTGCAGTGGGCTGCTGCACATGTTTATACAGGCAACACTTAATAGCTGCCTTAGAAGCTGCTCTTCAAAAGGATGTGTGCTCTTTCCTTCATCTGTGCTCACAAGGAATGTTTCTATTTATTTTTTCGTTACCAGCCGAGATTAGAAGATGGAAGATTAGCTAGGATATTTAAGCAGATTGATGGATCGTTGCACACTTTTTATTTGTTTAGCTAAAAGCCTGATGTAGCCAGAACTGCTATTCTGAATTTAAAGATTTCTTGACACATCAGAAGTGATTTAGCTAAGAGATGAGCAGGTTAGGCTGACAAATGGATAAATTGGAAATTTTTTGGCTGGGTAAGTTAATGTCATGAATATCTAGAAATAGTGTTGAATTCCATTTAGGTTACACGAGAGCATGTTCAGGCTGAGCCTTAGCCTGGTTTTACTTTTATTTTTCCTTTTTTAAGCTGAAATTGTCTTCAAAATGCTGCGGAGTCATAAGGTTCATTAGCATTAAATGTATTATGAAATATGGGTAGGACTTTATTAAAACTTTGTTGTTACAACTTTGCCTCTATATATTAATATCCTTTGGTATAAAACACTCATTCTTTGCACATTTGTTTCGTTAGCTGATGACCTCAGTGCCAATGAACAACTTATAGGTCCCCATGCATCGGGAGTTAACTCCATCCTACCAAAGGAGCACGGGAGTCCCTTCTTCTACTTGCCCATCATAAAACACAGTGATGATGAGGTAAATTCTCAGCAAGCCTCCTTCTTGCAGCTTATGTAAACACTTTCTTCTTGTGTTTTATTTTCCATCTTTATGTATCTAATCAGTATTTTTTTTTGTCTTAGAAGTACCATCTGTATCTAGTGCTGCCTTAATTTTCTAACCTATTGATTTAAGAGGATAGGACTTGTTAGCTCTTCTGTTGTAATTCAGAGGTGACAAGTCTCAGCAAAAGAATAATTCAGCTGCCTAACTCGAAATCCCTTCTTTCCTCACTCTTGAATCGCTCCTCTTGCAGGCTCTTGATTCTTCACAGAAAACTACTTCATTTATTGAACACATTAGGCAAAGCTTAATATTTAAGCTTTTCATTTGTAGTACACAATATTTTTTTTTAAAACACGAAGTTTGGAAACTGTTGGAAACTAATGGTTCTGAATCTGTTTTGGAATTTAACTCGATTCTCCCATGTCCTGTGCCAACTCAAGGCCATTGCTTAAGAGATCGAGAGGCCATTTCCAGAATAAATGGGACACCCAAATCGGGGAGGAGTCGGGGGGAAGGCAAAAGACACTCTGCAGGATGGGAGTTTATTCTGTGCGGGCCGATACAATCTAGTCCAACACAGATGGAAGATTTGACATTGGATGAATACACGTCTAATACGGTCGCAGTAGGATTTGTATTACTCCAGTCTTGCTTGTGCTCTCCTTTCCATCTCCAGCTGTGTGAAGACTTCCTTGTGGGGCAGGGTTTGCACAGCGCAGGGGTTGTCCTCACACTCGTTTTCCCTGATACCTTAACACCTCTTTTATACTTCTTCCAATAAATTCCTTACTATGAAAGGGAAATTTGATTCCGCTTTGTTCAATGATGGTTATTTTTCTCTCATTAAAGAATTGGTTAAATAGCTGCAGGTCATACCTGTTGTTAGAATGACTGAATCTCTGATTTCCCTTTCCTTCCTCTGCTTCGTTTGTCTGCACAGGTTTCAGCCACTGCTGCTTGGGACTCTTCTGTCCACGATTCAGTGCACCTGAATAGGGTGACTCCTCAAAATGAGAGAATTTACTTGATAGTGAAGACTACTGTGCAGCTTAGCCATCCTGCTGCAATGGAACTGGTGCTACGCAAAAGGATTGCAGCCAACATTTATAACAAGCAGGTAATAAGTGTGTGCGTATATATATATATATATTTTATTATTATTAATTTTATTTCATATCCTTGTTTTTTATTAATGTGTTTTCTTAGCTGCTTGCTTCATTTTCTGTAAGTTTGGTCCCTCCAATTCTTATGAAAGACAAACACTAAATTTTTTTTTATAGCTTACAGTGAAGCTGTGTGCTCCTGGTATATCCCTTTGAACTGTCCATTTCTCAGCCTGATTTGGTTCAGAGTGTAACTTTTGTAACAAAAAAATTTACTCTCTTGTCTACGCAACTTGAGATGTTCTTTGATTCAGAGAAGTTTGCAGTAGCTTATCTAATATAGGGTCACTGCATCTGTGGGGCCTTCAGATGTCCAGGCTAAACATAACAGATCTTTTTTTTTCCTCCTCTCCCTTTTCTTCCCTCCTCTCCCTTTTTTCTTTTTCTCCCTGTCTGTTATTCATAAACTGGGCTTATTTCCCACCTCTACCCAGATGTGGGTACATTCCCTACCCGCTTTTACATGATGATTTTGGAGAGCGAGTTGTCTTTGGCCACAAGGGTGGCTGCCTTCCCCCTCGCTTCGCTGCTCCATGGGTTTAGATGATGAAGTTTAGACAATGAGGTGGTTCATGAAATGAGAAGTTTGACGAAGAGGAGGCTGAGGGGGGACCTTATCATGCTCTACAATTACTTGAAAGGACATTGTAGAGAGGTTGGTGCTGGTCTCTTCTCACAGGTAATTAGGGACAGAACCAGGGGAATGGTTGCAAGCTGCAACAGGGCAAGTTTAGGCTGGACATTAGGAAGAAATTCTTCACAGAAAGAGTGGTCAGACCCTGGAACAGACTGCCTAGGGAGGGGGTTGAGTCGCCATCCCTGGATGTGTTCAAGTGTCGCTTAGATGTGGGGTTGGGTGAGATGGTTTAGGGGTGACCTCGTAGTGTAGGTTTAATGGTTGGACTCGATGATCCCAAGGGTCTTTTCCAACCTGAATTGTTCTATGATTCTATGTGACAGTAGCTGTACGTTAGAGACTTCTTACAGCTACGGTTCTGCCTGTACAAGTTACTGCACAAGGATAGAGCATTGATGCAAACCAGGAGGAATTGGCTACTGGTTGAACTTGGTAGGGTTGTGTACTGAGCACAGGGCTGTAAAGAGTATTTAAAGGATCATTAATGCTAAAAAGGAACGTACTAGATTGTGGTCCTGAAAAATGTGCTTTTGTGGTCAAACAAGTCTTTGCATTGCAACCTCTTATTTCTTAGGGTGACATAAATAGTAATTTTTAAAACAACAATTGAAAATTACTTTGTTTCTAGAGTTTCACCCAGAGCTTGAAAAGGAGAATATCCTTGAAAAATATCTATTACGCCTGTGGAGTGACCTATGAAATAGTATCCAACATACCAAAGGTAAATTAAACCATATTCCTCTGATAAATTAGCTGAAAGGAACAGAACGACCTCCTGCAGTGGTAATACTGATGGGGAAGCGAACGTCCTGCTTTGCCAAGAGGAGGCAGTGTGTCAAAGCGCACATCCTGAACTTCAGCCGACACATCACATTTATCTTTAAACAGCTGAAGACTATAGGGGGAGTTATTTTTTTATTTTATTTTTGGACTGTTGATTGTAATTAGGATTATGGGTTAAGGATTATCGATTCAAATAAATGTCTGGATGGAGGTAGTCTAAAGGAGTGATTTAATACACTGGAAACAACAGGCTTTAATTTTTGAAAGCTTCAATAGTGTGACTTGTCATTTAGGCTACAGAAGAAATTGAGGATCGCGAGACCTTGGCACTGATGGCCGCGAGGAGTGAGAACGAGGGCACGTCCGATGGCGAAACCTACATTGAAAAATACACACGTGGCGTGCTGCAAGTGGAGAACATTCTGAGCCTTGAACGACTAAGACAGGCAAGGAAATGCCGCTTGTTGCGCCTTTTGAAGTGGATCATGAGAATTTGAGTAGAAACAGTTGATATTTTAAAAATATTAAGCGTCGGTTGTTTTTTATTTAGGGGGTTTTTTTACAGAACGGTGGGCAGGTCAATGTAAGACTAAGTTACGTCAGTGAAATACAGAATTCCGACAGTGGTGGGTCTGGTAAATACAGCTGGCAATGGTGCGGTGCCTGGAGCCTGAACAGGCAAATGCCAAAGGGTGAATTTCAGACACAAACTTTGGTGGCGTTTAAGATTTGTAAATGCAAGCCCTGTTTGCTGTGCTTAGCCACGCTGGAAGAAGTTTCTGTCCCGCTTGATCATTTCTCATGAGACTGTGGCGTTGTTTTTAGCATGTTCTTTTCTTCACGCAGGCGGTCACAGTCAAAGAGGCTCTCTCCACCAAAGCGAGAAACATCCGCAGAAGCATCAGCACGCCAAATGTGCACAACGTAAGGACCCCTTATCCTCTGGGAAATTGGTATCAGGCAGGCAGAGGGATGCTGTCTGTGTGCTGGTGGAACGCTTGCACGGCGTGCTGCCGTAATGCTGGGTCTGTGCTAGGACTAACCGGCCTGTAGGAAAGTTGTCATGAATGGAAGTGAGTCACTCAACCCCTCCCCACAACCGGCCGTCCTAGGAGATAATAAAGTTGACGGGGAAGTGGAAGGCTTGGTTGAAACGCTTCTCCTTTTGTTAAGGATATTCATTTTGGAAGTAGCTTAGCGTGACAGCTGTCCTGTTTCAGATTATTTTTACTTCAAAGTCCCTTTAATGGTTTTCACAGCATAAGGGATGTTTTCCATTTTATGTGTTCTCCAGTCACCCACTCATACAGCACAAACATAGCTGTCCTTACAAATTATCTTATCTGAAAAGGGAGAACAGAGGAGTTGTTGTGACTAAATGATCATAGTGTTCCCTCAAGGCTTTCTGTTTCATAACCAAAAGGTTCATTCTGCCTGTTGATGTTCTGTAGGTGTCCTGTAGCCGACTAGACCTTTCTGCCTGTGACGAAGACGATAAGGTATGTGAAGGTGACAGCAAACAGAGCGCAGTCTCACATGTTTTCCCTTCTTTTGAAGCAAGATATATTTGAGAATTAAAAAAAAAAGGAAAATTATATTTTTAACAGTGAGTTTACATAATGTGTCTTCAAAATGCTGCACTAATTATATCTTTTTTTTGGGTAATCCTTTTTGTCCTTCTCTGCTCTTAATGTACTTCACTGGGAAGCTAATTAGCTCCTAAACAACCCATTTGTGTGGGCTAGAACATTGTCTTAAGTCAGCAACTTGACGTTCCTTTGGTTTGGTGTTTGTGTTTCTTTTTTTAAAAAAAGAAAAACCAAACCAAAACCAAACTCCCTTTGAGTGTACCTATTATTTTTTCCGTGTTTACCTGGATCAGCATGCGTATTATATTTTTGTTTTCTTGTTTCTCAGGGTTGGTCTGAAAGTCACCTGGATATATCTGACTGTTCGTCCAGTTACCAAGATGTATCGTGCTATGGTACTTTACCCAGGGAGTCACCTCGCAAGAGCAAAGATGGCAGTGGTGAGACTTTCAAGTCTATACATTTTGACAGTGTTTGTGGGGTTTTAATTACTGCATTAAACTAAAAATTAAATTCTTAGTGCTCTTTTCCTACTAAGTGCACTCTCCAGCTTCTTGCTTTAGCAGCTAAACATAATCTGGAAGTAGGGAAGAAAGGGAGAAATGAGTGAAGACACCCAGGCAAGGATGAGAAGTTGGGGGTGTCCAAGAAAACCAGGAGGAGGGCAGAAGAACAAACTAAATGTTAATTCAAACTGTGAAAGGAGGTGGAGGGGGAGAAAATAATTCAAAAAAGAAACAAAAAGGAGTTGTTATTTTTGTGAATTTGAAAATGGAGATGCTTTTGTGCAAGTAGGAAGGGACCTTTTGCAGGTTCTTTACATGATTTGGATGTTGGCTGTGTTGTGTCAGTGTCACAGGCACCTTATTTCATGCAGGTCAAAAGTTACAGCGTGCTCTTAATCGGGCAGCACAGGTAGAGATGCTGCTGCAAGAAAATGGAACTGAGAGTTTATTCTTTGCTTTCTTTGTAATTTCTTTTTTGGTCATCCTGGTCATGCAGGAGTGCAGGCTTGCTTCCTGGGCACAATTGCAGTGTTGTGGACAGAGGCCAGGTGAGGTGCTGGGGAAAAAGAGCCATCGCTTACACTTTCAAGGACATTTCCCACTGTTTTTGTGACTGAGATGAAAAGGAGAAATAATGGAGACTCAGAATAGAAGGGGCAGATGCTGCTATTCTCCCCTTTCCTTCTGTTTCCAGACCTTGCAGAGGGACATAATCTCTCCTTGTTGAGTTCTGCGTTTTCTCATGCCGGTGGTTAAATACTAAAACACTGACATTTTTCTGTACCCAGCAACTTGCCAAATGCATGGCTTAATCCTTCAGTTATTTTGAATTACGCTCTTGCAGTCAAGGTATGAAGAACTGAAAGACAATATTTTTGCTTTTTTGCCTAGGCATTGTAGCAGAGAATTCCCATGCTTTAATGGCCAGCCCTTTTAAAGCGTTTTCTCCTCAGCCACCAAAGTTTTTCAAGCCCTTAATGCCAGTGAAAGAAGAACATAAAAGGAAGACCCCGCTTGAAAGTCGACCTCTGCTCAGCCAAGAGGTAATCTTTGAAAACCACCTGTTTTTTTCTTAAAGGGGATCAATGGATTTTGTGTACTTGGCAAATCGTTTGCATTAGAACTTTGTAATTATCTGGTAAAATTATTCAGGCTGTGCTTTATATGTGGTGGGCTTTTGGTGTTTGTTTTTTACCCGAAACACTTGGGTGTTTTTTCACTTCTTGGTAAGTATTCTCCTTTACAGGGTACTTCTGTTCTATTTTAAAGTAGCAGTAACCTGCTATTATTATTATTATCATCATCATCCCAGCAAGTTGTTGGTGTGTTTTTTCATAGACATAAACATAATTCTGTGAAACAGCATTCTAGGGTGGCCGTACTTCTCACCCTCTATTCCTCAGCCTAAAACTCTGTAGGGAGAAGCGCATGAGTTCTACCCGTTAACTCGCATTTTGACATGCGCGTGGCCGCCTCGGGCCTTCCACTTGCATCGCTTCCTGGTAACGCCTTGCTAACCTGCACGCGCCGAGCGCTGCCGTCGCGGTTTGGGTGACGAGTTGTGTGTCTCGACCTTTGCAGAGCACGCCTTCGCCTCGGGTGCGCTGCGCTGGCTGTGCTGCACCCGCGGGAAGCGGTGCCAGCGGCGTGCCCCTAGAAAGCCATAGCGTGCGTGAGGAGAAGATTGTAAGTTCTGCAGGCCTGGTGGTGGGCTTGGGGCCGTTTGGTGGCGGGCTTGAGGTGTGCTGTGGCAGCAGAAGACAGGTGGACTGTGGATGAAGCCGCTTGCCTTTGATTGTAGCAGGTGGTTAGAATGAACAGGTGCTTGCCTGGCTTGCAGATGCAGTCTTGTTGTAACTGGGGTTTCGCATTTTGATTTTTTTTTAGCATTTTTTTTTTGTTTTGTAATATCCATGTGTGATTTATCTTGTGGGGTGGGTGGGAGAGGGGAGGTTTTTGTTTTTACAGGGCACAAATGATCAAGTCAAGGGTGGTTTAGCGAACTGTGTTGTTGTCACTCTAATATGCCTTGTGTGTTACCCAGATTTTGTGACTATACCTCAGAGTAAATGGAATGATCCAATTTTGTGTAAGTAACCATGCATTTAGGTGTGGGTACACTACAAAAAGCTTCTTATTGCCTGATGCGGAAGTAATAAGACTAAAATAAGATTGCTGCTCTTAATTAACCTGCAGCTTTTCTTCATTGTAACTCAGGCGGTGGGTTGAGGTGGAGGGCTTTTGTTTTAATCTTCACCTGCCAAACCCTTTTCTCACTGCTGCTTCAACAAAAGGTGTATCGTCATTCCTGACTTGGGTTTTGGGCTCTCAAACATGGCTGTCAATACTCACTTTAATCAGAGCTTTAGATTTAAAATTCAAAACCTTCAAATTATTTCCTCTAAGTATTATAGGTCTCTTCTACCACAAGGAGTTACTGATGAATTTTTTTGTCGGACTTTTCTGATTCGACAGTTACTTTGATACCACGTAGCCAAGCATTTCAAAAAAAAACTTTAAGAAGTTCAGTTTGGATTTCTAACACGATTTTGTGGGTTGTTACACCTCAGTGTTCTGGTGTATTTATTAGGAGCTTGGCTGCTGGTTTTGGGTAGCAGCTGTTGATTTTCCATAAGGTAGCTGACACTCACTGAGTCACTGATACAAGCAGCCTGAGGGTATTTGGAAGATAAAGTCTTCTAGTGGGTTGAAAAACGTCCCTTGGAAACTAAACAAAATTTTCACAGCAGCTTCAGAGCAGTTTTACTCCCTTGAGTAAAAACACAGTCCCACCCCATGCATACCCAGAAGTAACTCGGGCATTTCCCTGTGCTGTTCTCTGAAGATAAGCAGAAGCTTTCAGAGCTGGAAAAGGGCAACATCCTGCCGCAGGCTTTTCCAGTTAGTTTGAAACTAAATCACTGAGCACTGTGAAGCTGCTGTTGCCGACAGGGTGCTGGGAAGAGCTGTTCCTTGAGTGCTCAGCTGCTTGCTGCACGGGCTTCTCGCTGGCAGCAGCACAGCTTTTCATTTGGTTGCGCAGCAAGTCAGAACAAGGGAACTGGGCCATCCAGGTGATGCCCAGATTGCCACGAAGTCGTGTTTCATTTAGATCTACTGCCCTGTCTGATCCCCGTAGCGGCACTAGAGCGGGTACTGGGCAGGCAGCCTGTAGTGAGGAGGAGGTCGAGATGGGTACTTCACATAGTCCTGCCAGCTTACGGCGTCAGGTTTATCAAATTACAGCTTCTAGTCAGGCTTTTTTTATCACTTTAGGAAGCAATATTTTAAGACGTAGGCTTCACAGGCATCTCCACGTTTTTCAGAGGTGGAGCAAGCCTATATTTTAATTAGGCTGGAGTATAAATTTCACACCTAGTGCTCTTTTTAAAAAAAAAAAAAATCCAACCAACAAAAACTAGGGGAAAAAACACCTCCAGGTTAGATGAAAGATCTTGTCACATGAGCATAAGTTTGCTGATAGGTATCTGCAGGATGTTGTACTTAACTGCTGCTGCTGAATGGGGCAGAGGAGCTGGTCACAAATGACTCGGAGAAAGCCAGCGCACTCGATGCATTCTTTACTTCAGTCTTTATCTGTAAAACTAAACCCCAAGCCCCTCATACCCAAGGGAAGGTGTGGAACGAGGGAGACTTACCAGGTTGGAGAGCACTTCAGCGACCTACGTGTTTTTTAAGTAAGCTCACAAGTGCTCAAGGAGCTGGCTGATGTTACTGCAAGGCTGCTCCCAATTATCCTTGACTGTCACAGCGGTTGGGAGAGATTCCTGAAGGCTGGGAGAGAGCAAATATCATGCCTGTGTTGAAGAAGGACAAAGAAGAAAGATTTAGCAAACTACAGACTGGTCAGCCTCACTTCTGTCTCTGGGAGAAAATCTCCCTCAAAAGCATTTCCAAACATATAAAAGTCAAGAAGGTGACTGGGAATAATCAGCATGGATTTACAAAGGGGAAGTTATGTTTGAGCAACCTCAGTTGCCTTCTACAGCAAGGTGACTAGCTTAGGGGATGAGGAGAGAGCAGTGGATGTTGCTTACCTTGACTTTAGTAAAGCTTTTTATGTTATCTCCTATAACATCATGGCAGATGGGCTGACAAAGCACAGGTTAGATGGGTGGGCAGTGAAGTGTGTGAAAAGCTGGCTGAAGGGCTGGGCCCAGAGGGTTGTGACCAGCAGTGCAAAATCCTCTTGGAGCTCTGTAACAAGCAGCGTACGCCAGGGCCCACGTACGTTCAACACCTTTGTTAATGACCTGGATGCTCGGACACAAAACCAGGAGCAGCAGCTGATACACCAGAGGGTTGTGCTGCCATTCAGAGGGACCCAAACAAGTTGGAGACTGGATGTAGAGGAATCTCCTGAAGTTCCACAAGGAGAAATGCAATCTTGTATGTGGAGAGGAGTGATGCCAGGCACTGGTATGTGTTGGGGGCTGGCTGGCTGGCCAGCAGCTTTGCCTCGAAGTACCTTGGGCTGCTCATGGCCAACAAGCTGGTCGTGAGCCAGCAGCGAGCCCTTGCAGCAGACCACCAGCAATTTACTGGACGTGGCCAGCAGGTTGAAGGAGGTGATTCTTGCTTTCTGCTCAGCAGCTGTGAGGCCATATCTGGAGTGTTGTGTCTGGTTCTGGCACCCTAGTGCAAGAAAGATCTGGACTGGCTGAAGCGAGTCTGGTGCAGGGTTACAAAGATCATTAACGGCTGGCATCATCTGACATACGAGGAGAGGCTGAGAGAGCCTCAGGGGAATCTCATCAATGCATAAAAACACCTGATGGGAGAGAATGAAGACAAGGTGGATTGTTCTCAGCAGTGCCCAGTGACAGAACAGGAGGCACTGGACACAAAGCACGTGAGATTCCCTCTGAACGCAAGAAAACATTGTTGAGGCGTGGTCAAACACTGGAATGGCTTGTGCAGAGAGAGGTGGTGGAGCCTCCATCCTTGGAGACCTCCAGATGCACCCAACTGGGCACAGTCTTGGGACAGCCTGCTCTGGCTGACCCTCCTTGAGCAGGGCAGTTGGACTAAATGACCTTCCAACCTAAACAATTCAGTGATTATTCCGACACGTGCAAACTGAACAAACCTGCTGGCTGCCTATGTATGTGAAGCTTTATCACTCAAAGTTATTGGAGCTCTCTTGGCTATTATGAACTATAGGAAACACTTTCAAGAGGATGATTATCTCAAACTTGTTGTCCTCACTCTCAATGCATTAAGTTTAACGCATTGTTTACTCATTCTTAATGCAGCTGGTTAAGTATCGTGCTTTTCCTTTTCCATCGGTGATTGATGACTGATGCCTGAAAGCATTGAACTCCTTCAGGTGTCACACAGGATCTGTTTTGATCAGTAATTGAAACCCTTGATGCAGATAAAGGAATAGAGAAATAATAAGTGCTTTGAGTTCCTCTAAATTGTAAGTGCTTCAGCAGTTTTTGTTTTTCTGAAAAAAATTTTTCTAGGAGGAATTTGCTGTAAACTAACCATTTTGAATATACGTTTGTGTACACATAGATATGTGTATATATAAAAAAGAGTATTTTACATGTGCACATATATATAAAAATATATATACGGAAAATGAAGTGCTTAAAAAAAGCATCCATGTGGAGTCCTGCCTGCAGTATTTTGCACTGGGAGAGGAGTACAACCGTGTTACCGGGGTTTTTCTCAGATGCATTTTGACAGACGGAAGGCTTTGGGTGAGATCTGTGAGAGCCCCATTTGTGGGCTGGTCGCGGCGCATCGCCGCTTGTTACCAAAGGGGAATTTGGGGAGCTTCCTCCAAAAAGTCTGCTGGGTTGATTAATGGCACTTACTTCACTCCAAACACATAAGTGTACATGCAGAAATGCTTCCTTGAAAAATTCTCTGTAATATCTCATACTTTTGCCTTCATTTTCAAACATCATGAACGTGTTCAGGTGTGATAGCCTGGGATAAGCAAAATTTAGCTTCACTGATACCAGATTAACAGCAAACCCCATTGTGAAGGATAGTTTTTGATAACCAGTATTGCAGTGGAGACCCTGTAAAGCCTCTTCTATTCGTATTTACATTTATCCTGTTAGGCGGTCAATTAGCTCTATAGAATTCCTTCAATAGGTTTAATTAGTCTAAATGATGATGAGAAAGAAGCTTGTAACACATGGCTTTAAAAAGCTGAGTACAGCGAAAATAGGTAATTATAGAACTTGTTCATGTTGTGAGCCTTCTTTACCCCAAACTTTATTGCTTTGTATTTTCCGACCTACTCAAAATTTTTATTTTGTTCTCTAGAATTTGAATAGCTCAGTGTAGACAGGATAAGTTTCCAGCAACTCTTTTCCACGTTGTCTTCCATTCTTCAGGTAAAGAATATTAAAGCTGTATATTTCTCCGTGTTCAGAAAGGAAAAAATAATCATGGAAGGTTTGTTTATTTTGAAAACTTTACTGTTGAAGGTTCCTAATCCCACACAACTCCCTTCTTTTTCAGGACTCCGAGGAGGAGGATAGCGAGTTGGAGGCCATTAATAAGAAGCTGATAAGTCCACAAAGTTTTCAAAATTTCCGGCCTTACGTACCAGAGGAGTTTGCTGACTTCAGTGTTTACAATGCTAGCCTGGAGAACAGGGAGTGGTTTTCTTCTAAGTCAGACTTCATGAGTTCACGTGTTCTTGAGAAAGAGGTATCCCGCAGCCCCACCACTAGCAGCATCACTAGTGGCTACTTCTCCCACAGTGCCTCTAACGCTACTCTGTCTGACATGCTTGTTCCCTGTAGTGAGAGCACAGACCAGCTCGCCAGTCACACGAAGGAGCTGGACTCTAGTGATCCCTCAGGATCACCTCTTGCACACGATGTAAGGTCTTCTTCGGGCAAGGAAGGTCGGGAGTCAGAAAAGGAGTTAGCGAAAGAAAAGCTACCTGTGTTACCACTGAGAGAAAACAGTGCCTTAACGGAACAAGTACCACTGTCCCTCGACACTGCTGGCACAGACTCGCAGCGGTTACCCGGAGCTGGGTCGTTTTCAGCTCCAAGTTCCTTGGACGGCAAAACTACCTGTCCTACAATCGAGTTCTCGGTGCGCGAAGCAACGGTTGAGCGCACGATGGATGTTCTTGAAGATCACTCCTTTACAGAGTTCATGGGCGTCGAAGACGGGAAGGACTTTGACCATTCAGCTCCGCAGCCGTGTTGCCTCATGTCCTCTAATGGAGTGAGTTCCTCGGAGTTACCCCGAGGCCCTGCCAAGGAGCAGAGCACGTGCCGGGGCCAGCTGGATTCAGCGGCGGCAGGCGACCGGCCCGTGGGTGCCACGGAAAGCCCTTTGCGTTCTGTAAAAGAGACTTCAGACCGTGAGACTTATCCAGATGCTTCTGTAGATGATTTTCTTGGGAAGGACCACTTGGACGGTTCCGATAGCGAAGAAGGTGCTTCTGCAGATCAAGCCCACGTCTTGCCTAGCTGGGTGGCAGTGGGTGAACAAGTGTGTCTTGGAAGTAATAAGATGGGAACTGTGAGATACGTTGGAACGGTGGATTTTTCCGCTGGAATTTGGGTTGGAGTTGAACTAAATGTTCAGCTGGGTAAGACTAAATACGTTCTGGGTTATCTCTGCAGTTAGCATGATCTATTTTTGAAGTTAAACTACAATCATATGCTGTCCTGTCATGGGAAATACCTCTCATTTCACACAGGCTTGGAAGCTGATACACCCAGTTCTAGGCCGTTCATAGGAATACTTTGCTATGGGTTAATTTTTAACTGTCTTTAAGCCCCATTCTTTGCACTGCATGTTTTTGCACATCGTGGGAGTTCCCTCCCATTGCTGTGCATCTATTTTTTGTAGATCAGAAAAAGAAGCAAAGCCTAAAAATGGCAGGTATTTTTTCAAATCAACGTGCATGCTCATGGGCAGTACTGATGAGGGACATCACCCGTGAAATAGGTTTGCTCTCTGTAGCTTTCAGAGATTTTTATTACAGGTTTTTTTTTCCATTGCTTAATTACAGAGCACAGGTTTTCTTTAACTTCAGTTCGATAGGGTCAGAAGAAGTAAATGCTCTGCAAGTGTTAGAGACTCCTACAGAAATGCTTCAGATCTTTTTAAAAGAAGGTTTTAGTAGTTTAACAGGCATCGACACTGGTGCTAGGAGTTTCTCTGGCAGCAGAGTTTTAAGCTGTGCAAGCAGTTGGCTTTGAGGATTGTTTTGTAAAAGGAACAAATGCTTGACATTTCAAACTGTTGGTTAACAAAGTGTGATTTTAGGAAATGACCTATTTGGTCACAATTCAAGCCATCCTTTGCAGGTTTGGTTCTCTCTGGCATGAGTGGTGTGCATCTGGCTGCAGCAGCTGGCATTAAAAACTTGACTATTTGACAGAAAAATATTCCAGAAATATTGACCAAAGATATTCACACTTCAACGCTACGATTGCATGTGCTAACAAAAGTGCCAACAACTAATTCTGTGCGTTTGCTTTCATTGAAGGGAAGCATGATGGGACTGTAAAAGGCAGAGAGTACTTCCACTGCAAACCACGACACGGGGTCTTTGTTCGTCCCGGGCGCCTCAGCAAAGCACCAGCTTCCACGAGGAAATGGAGTAGCGCTTCACGGTCTCAGGCGTCTTCCACTTCAGAGAAACGGAAAAACTCTGTGTTTCAAGGCTCATCGCCCACTCCTAAAATGGGAGGAGAAGTCCTCTGCCATTCCGGAGATGCAGCAGCTTCTGCTTTTTCTAGGAAACAGGAAAACAGGAAATCTTGGATTAACTAAACTGCAGTATTTTTGCACTTACTACACGCATCACTGTGTAGAAAACTTTATGGATTTTCGAAGCTATTGTACATTTTAATCTGTCCGTACAGAATGTATATTCTCTAGAGTCATTGATTTAATTCTCTAATTTTTTATAAATAATATATATA